GTTATGTGTCTACATTAAGGTTAAAAAGAATCACACACTATAAAATGATAAATTTAAAAAGAAACTGAGAATTCGTTAGCTAACTATCAGTTTTGATATTTTCAAAAAGGCAATTTTTGTGGGGTGGGTACCCGGAATTAAACTAAGGGGCACTCGACCACTGAGGTACATCCCCAGCCCTATTTTGTATTTTATTTAGAGACAGGGTCTCACTGAGTTGCTTAGAACCTCGCTTTTGCTGAGGCTAGCTTTGAACTCACAATCCTCCTGCCTCAGCCTCTCAAGCCACTGGGATTATAGGCATGTGCCACTGTTCCTGGCGAAAAAAGCAATTTTTATTTAAAAAAAAAAAGAGTAAAGAAAAATGCTAAGCAAATGAGCAAAATTTAAAGATATTAAAAAGTGTCAGTAATGTCAGATGTTGCATTTAGAACACAAATAAATTGAAAGAGTTTTGGTAAATTTCACAAATAAAAACTTCATATTATTTATATATTATATAATCGTAACAATTATGCTTATATATAATGATGCCTCACTTAATGATGGGGATACATTCTGGATAATGCATCATAAGGTGATTCTGTCATTTTGCAAATGATACAGGGTATTGACACAGTCCAACTTGGTATAGACCACTACATACCTAAGTTATATTGTAGACATCAGTGTATGTGAAATTCCTTTGATAAATACATTATGCCACATATGAATATAGGATATAACATTATAGCAATGAGTATGACCTCATAATGAGATGAATAATTATCCCTGTGGAACTAAAGAAAGAATCCTTAAGAAGATGCTGGCAATTTAGACCATAATAAAAGATAGAAACTGTACTGTAGTAAAGGAGAAAAATGACATCCTTTTCAAAGAAAGCTGATGGGAAAATGGGGTATCTGTGTGACAAAAGTGCCATTGCATCCTTTCCTAATATGACTTAAGAAATCATTTTTACTAGTAAGAAATACTTTAATATAAAAGAAAAATATAAAATATACCAAAGTTATTATAAGACAGGGATTTATACAGTTGATATACTGGTGGATGACTGTAATACCAGCTACTTAGAAGGAAAAAATAGAAGAATTGCAAGATCAAGGTCAGCCTGAGCAACTTAGTGAGATGCTTATTCAAAAATAAACTTTAGAAAGAACTGTCAATGTGGTTGAGCACCATGACATACCTGCCTTTAATCTCCTAAATAAAAAAATAATAATAACAATGAAAATACAGAAAGAAAGACAGTTATTTGTTTCCAAAGTTAAAGAAAATAATATCTTTTGACTCCCAAACTGGAAAATATTAAAATAAAATGTGTACTTATGATATGATACCATTAAAGGGTAAAAACTGAAGTGAAAGACTGGGAGAAACTAATCACTTCACATATAACAAAACACTTTTAAAAGAAAGAAAGGAGCTGGGCATGGTGGTGCACACCTGTAATCCCAGTGGCTGGGGAGGCTAAGACAGGAGGATTGTGAGTTCAAAGCCAGCCTCAACGAAACTGAGGTACTAAGAAACTCAGTGAGACCCTATCTCTAAATAAAATACAAAACAGGGTGTGATGTGGCTCAGTGGTTGAGTGTCCCTGAGTTCAATCCTGGTACCAAAAAAAAAAAAGAAGAAGAAGAAGAAGAAGACAACACAGCAAGAGAGCTGAATAGCTACTTTATAAGGAGAAACATAATGTTTCAATAATCATGTTCAAAAATCATAAAATAGCTCAATATCTTTAGAAATCAGAAAAAAAGTCGAAATAAAATCACATCTCTGAGACAAAATTAAACAGTATCAGTAAAAATATGGAGCAAAAAACTATGAACTAAAGAGGGAGTAAAAGTTGTTATTTCTTGAAAGAAACTGGCTATTAAAAATACACCATCGGGGCTGGGGTTGTGGCTCAGCAGTAGAGCACCTGCCTAGCATGTGCAGGGGCCCTGGGTTCGATCCTCAGCACCACATAAAAATGAATAAATAAATAAAGGTATTGTGTTCCACTACAACTGAAAAAATATATTAAAAGAAAATACATGATCATTGCCCAGCAGAAGCATATGCTTATAAAAATTACTGTACATATGAACCATGATAACACTGAAGGGTACAGCTGCATTGGTCAAAGCACATGAAACCCAGGGCATGGAGAAGGGGCAATGGACATTGGGGAAGAGATACATAGTAAAAGGGGGAAAATGGTTTCCAGGACCTATTTTTATCAAACTGTCCACCTTGACAAATATTGTGAAACTCTGCATAGCTTTATATAGATGTCATATACATGTGATATATTACACGTAATATTTTACAGGCATACATGTTAAGAAAGAAATATATAGAATTTGAGAAAATAAAAAATATACATAAGGACATAAAAGACTCAATTATACACACCACTTATGTACATGATAAAACTCATCACTATCATGTAAAAGAGACATAGAAGTTACTTTGAAATAATAAGGAATCATAATTCAAACAAAAACCCATAGGGGGAATATGTATGTATGTAAAAATTTAATAGCAATTGAAAGGCCTACATAAATCTAAACACATCAAGAATAACATTACATGTAAATGGATGATATGGCCAAATCTAAAGGACTTTGGGGGCACAGTTCACTGGTGTAATGTGTTTATACATTATGGAAGGCACTGAAATCAAATTCCAGCACAACAGTAAAAGGTATATCTTATGGGAGTGCGATGTTGGGAATACAGAAGAATAGGAGGGTCTGACACTAAATGATTACGAAAAGCTGGGGTAGGCTTGGGTCTTAGTCCAGCCTTAGGCAATATGCTTCAGAATTGGAACAGAATCACCAACAGTCAATGTCACCCTGAGAAGAGGAAGATATATAACACCACATATATAACACCCTAACTCTAAATTTTCCAGTGGTTTATATCTTAATTTAGCTAGTGCTAAAGAAGGATCTACACATTCATAAGTACTAAGAACACAGAAAAAGTGATGGTTTTTTATGTTCAAGTAAGTGCGACTGTGGGCTTCAATCCCTGGGATCAGGAGCAAAAAGTTAAATCTTGAAGGACTAGGCTTCTGCCTAGAAGAGATTTGCTAGGGTAATCTGCCAACTAATGTTGCTGACAGTTGAGCTACTCTCTAGCCTGCATCAGAGTTAAAATGAGAAAAATACATTGTACCAATTGGAGTCTTTATGAGTGTTTAGCACTTAATGAGTTCCAATCTATAGCTTGTTCCTGTAAAAATTTCAGAACTGCCAATATTTTTATGGAAGGAAAGTTTTCCTTTACCAAGTGTCTCAAGGTACTGGGTTCAAACCTTAGCATCACAAGAAAAGGCAAATGTTAAATGGGGATGATGTTGAAAATAAAACAGAATATTAAAATTCCAGACATAATAAAAAGCTATTCATGTTATGAGTGCCTCTTTGAGAGTCATAAATGAGTTGAGAGACTTAGATACTTTAAGCAATTTTAAAAATTTCTATCTTCAATGAGTAGGAAAATCTGGGGTACACTTGGGCATTCACCCTGTCTTGAGCAAAGTACCATGTTTGGAACCAAATCCCCAACAGCCAGCATCAACCTCAATAAAGAGAAATGGGGGAGAAGTGATTCAAAAGTATCTGAACCACTGAAAATATTGTGATTTTTTATGGCCTTGAGAGTCTTTCCAAGTGCTTCAATGGCTGGGATCAAGGCAGACAAATAGCCAAATCTCAAAGGTGTCAGTTTATCTCTAAAAGAGATTTGCCAGCATATTTTGCCAACTGCTGTTGCTGGCAGATTAGCTTCTCTCTAGCTTGCATTGTGGGTTTAACAGGGGAAAATACAGTAAACCACTAATAGCCCGAGCAAACAGTCCTGAGCTCTGCTTCACCACTAACTTGCCCCAGTAATAACTCCAGGACTACCAAATTGCTTTTAGAAGGAGTTCGTTCATGCACCGAATGTCTCAACTTTAACATTGTTTTGTTCAAGTTACTATATTCTGAAGTTCCAAATTCTGGAAGCAAAGGTGACCGAGCATGTGCAAATCTTCATAGGTTGCAAACAAATGAATTTACATTGTTTTGCCAACAATTTTGTGGACTATGATCCCCACCAGTAGTACAAAAAAGGAGTTAGAAACCACAGAGCCCTGATTATTCCCAGAAAAGCTTTACAAAACATTTCTCCACTGGCTACTTGACATAAATTTGCATCAGGGATTTAATGCACCAATCAAATAGATTTCCTACAGCTTGGGCAGTGCTGTTAGAATATCTATTATAAAAATCTGAAAGAGTCAGGTGAGGTGGTGCATGTCTGTAATCCCAGTGGCTTGGGAGCCTGAGTCAGGAGAGTCATGAGTTTAAAGCCAGCTGCATCAACTTAGTGAGACTCTAAGCAACTTAGCAAGACCCTCTCTCAAAATAAAACATAGAAAGGGCTATGAATGTGACTCAGTAATTAAGTACTCCTGGGTTCAATTCCTAGTACCAAATCAAACCAAAATCTGAAAGATAATAGCTACTCGAGAGCCTATGAGTATATACAAATGTTGGTGACAATATAAATTTAATAAACATGTTTTTAAAAACATATTAAGGTTGTTCAAAAGCTCAAAATAAAAACAGGCCCCTACAAAGCACAGCTTCTCTCATGCAAGAACATAACCCATGGAGTTGGGTTTTCCCCTGTGGTTATCCCAGTCTTCACCACAAAATCTGGGGAGATGCTGAGCTACTAGAACATTGAAGCCCACGTAGGGCTTCAGGAAGGGGCTGAAAAGTACCATCCAATAATGGAACAGGACACCCAGGATCTCAAATGCTGACCTGAGTCCACTAGACTGCTCAGAGGGGCCTGAGAGCTTAGCTGCCACAGAGAAACCCTCAGGCTGTCAGATTCTGGATAGGACCACCAGGAATCCCCAGCCACAATTTCTACTTCCTGTCATTGCCAGTTGGGCTGGCTTCAAACTGCCTCCCTGCCCAGTCTCAAAATGCCAATGAATGAATACTCACCATTTCCTGGCTTTCAGGTTGCTCACTTGTGTAGCACAGAATCCTGGGTCTCCTGAGCATTGAGGAGGGTGTCTAGAAAAGAAATGAAAGAATGGAGGGATCCAGACACAAAGACTTAATCAGAATGTGGAAGCCAGTCCCCACTTCAATAGGCTGTGTATGAATTGGAGAGTCTTCACCCAAGTGCCAGATTGGACAGGGCTTCGGGCCCCACTGAGCCTAGTTAGCTTAACTTCTGAGGGACAGTAGGTTGCATCCAACTGGAGGGGACACAAATAGGCAGTCGATATGGTAATAAATGATTGGGTCAGAAAGATGGAGGCTGATTCAGGAGGAAATGAAATGCCAAAACCTCCAGAGCACTTTTCCCTCCTCTACCTGTTGCCAAGGTGGCCTTCCACCAGGGAATTGTTCCTCTCTGCAGGTAGTTATTGGAGTTGTTAATTAATGCCTCCGGGCCACTAGCTTCCTGTCTGGATCTTTCCACCTTTGGCCCACTTTCTGGTCATTGGTCTTAGTAAGCAGGATGCTGGGAGAAGAGGCCATGAGAACAAAAGGGGCAGGACACCACCACTTCCTCTGACACCCAGTTCTGGGACCCCTCCTCTGCAGAGTAGTCTATCTCTGTTCTATACTTTAAATAAAACTTGCTTTCCACACTTACCTTGATTTCTGGGATGTTCAATTCTCACGTCTGGGAAAACGGATCTTGGCCCTGATAGATTCTTATTATGGGTATCACAACCCAGGAATGAATGAAATCAGAATGACAGGTTCTTGGCTGGTCCTTTTTGTTGTTGTTGCAAGATTAGGAAGTGGACATATGGATACTCTACTATTGAACCCCTATAGATAGACAGATAGAGAGAGAGATGGAGAATAAGTCCAAGGACATTTTCCCTAAGTTTCTTTCATTTAAAATCCCAGGCCTTAGCCACTGTGAAGGAATACAAAAGGAACTGGCACCTGACACCCCACCAGCACACCCTAATGGGTCAGCTGACCCCAATACAATAAGCTCCAAGAAATGCCCTATTCACATTCCTGAACCACCCTAATTAATAAGGGCAACCCCAATACACTCCAGGAATTGACCTCTTGTCCCACCCTAAAGGAAGCATCTAAAACTCAGACACTGGCTTTAGACCCTTGCCATTTTCTGCCTCCCCACATAAGCCATGCCAGGGTTCCACCAATTGACTCCACCTCTGAATACCTAAAAAAGAAAAGTCCGCTGATCCCGGGTTTGTTTCCCATCTCCCATCTTCCTCATATGTGCATCATTTGTGCTAACACACACACACACACTTTAAATTTTGGACAGGATCTCAAATTCTCCTGTGATGGCTTCTCAAGTAACTGATATTACAAGCATGCACCACTGCCCCTGGAATTCTTTTTTCTTTTGAGTTGCTGTGAACTGCACACAGTGCCTGGGATGGAGTTATTTTAAGGCAGTTTCCTCCCAATAGTGGGATGTAGCCCAGACAGTGGCGCATTTACATATTTCACTGGATATAAGGTCATATCCATTTGAGAATACATATTTGTGTATATTATTCATGAATGGAAATGAAATGATGACAATTTAAATTTTTATTCAATTTTTCTGCTCTCTGATCTTATAGGAAAGCAGTTTGAGCTTTGAACATGTCAGCAATTCCCTGAGGTCAGAGATACACACACACACACACACACACACACACACACACACACAATGTAAGACAAAAGTGTAATTTTATATTTTCTAGTATTCACATTAAAAATTAAAAAGAACGGCTGAAATCAACTGTAATAATTTAAACCCCAATATCCAGAATATTTTGATTGCTCAAGTCAAATGAGAGGCTCCCCCACTAATGCAGTGGCTCACAGAACGCGCAAAGTCTCTTCCAGGCTGCTGCTCCAACCCGAGGTCTCGGTCTCGCCGGCCTCGCCCCCAGCCGACTTCCTCCCGCCAGCCTCAGGATTCTGCAGTGGCTCTGGCCAGGTTGGGCGCGTCCCACGTAGCAAGGTCGCCAACTCTGCTCCAAGGGGTAATCCCACCAGTGCAGGGGTACCGGGGCAGCGGTGCTGGTGCAGCGGAGCTCAGGCCCTCCTGTGAGGACCGGAAATGCAGTTTAAGGTGACATTTTTCCGCCTGGCCCCACCCACTGCCTCAGCCCCTCGCAGACCCCGCCTCTCTCCCCTGCTCCAGCCCTGGCCACTCCCTCCTTCCTCCCGGCTGCACGCGCAGCCAAGCAGGCCCCGGAGCAGATCGTGCCCAGAGGGTCCCAGTGCTGCCCGAAGTTCTCTGTGTAGACGCTGTAGATTGGCTGCGTGGTTGCCCATAGCCAGAGGTCAGCGTGTGGCACGATTGCCCGGGTCCTGCCTGATGTCTGCCCTCGGGCTGCGTGGACGTGGACGCGTCCCTTTTCACGGTATCCTCTTCCAGTCCTCAGTGGCGTCCCCTTCCACACAGTGCAGATCTTCCCCACATCTCACTCTCTTTGGCCCCGCGGGGAGCACAGCAGATCCATCCTGAGAGGAGCGTTCTCACCCATCCTGGGCTCTGTCCTCCTTGGTCAGTTGTCGGCTTCGCAGATCATCCCTCTGCAGTCTCCCCTTGCATTTTGGGGTGGCGACCTTGACTGGTCCCATGTTTCACTCCAGGGGAAAATATGTTCCTCCCAAAGTGGGCTTCTCTCTCCATCCCCTTCCCTGGGAGTGCGTGGAAAAAGAAAAAAAAAAGATGGGGAGAAACTGGATAAAGAGAAAAGAGAAAGACCCTTACACACACCGGAAAGTGGAGGATGGTGAGGGATTTGTGATAGCAAGAGTGAAAAAAGAAGACAGAAAGTTGGAGGTGAGAGAAAAGCAAATAGAAAAATGTAGAATCTCTGTCTCCAGAAAGATGAAGGAGAGCAGCCAAGGAAAAGAACAGTGAGGGGGAAGGACTTCAGGCAGTGCTGGGAGAGAAGGAATGTTCTTCCTCTAGGATAGAACAAGGACAGACCCCAGGGAGGAGCACTTAAGAGAGAAAACCTAGGGCAGTAGGGGTCCTGAGCATGGGGACAGATGACTGCAACAGTCAGGGCACAGGGAAAATATGGAAGGGCAAAGAAAGAGTCAGAAATATGTGAAGACTTTGGACAGTGGAAAGACCAGGGTAAAAGACTGACAAGAGGAGAAACAAGTTTCAAAAGTGGGAAGAACCAGTGGCAGGATAAAGAAAATGGGCTATGTATACACAATGGGAGAGTACTCAGCTATAAAGAAGAATGAAATTTTGGCATTTGCTGGTAAATGGATGGAACTGGAGAATATCATGCTAAGCGAAATAAGCAAGTCCTGAAACACCAAAGGTTCAGTGTTCTTTCTGAAATGTGGCTGCTAACCCATAACAAGGGAGGGTAGGGAAGGGAAGTATAGAAGTCCATTGGATTAGACAAAGGGGACTGAAGGTATCGAGGGGGGATGAGAATAGGAAAATCTGTAGATATAGGCAGATAACTTTCCTATACTCATATGAATACATGACCAGTGTAACTGCACATCATGTTCAACCACAGGAATGGGATCAGAATTGTAGGGGGTTGTACAGCCTGTATGTATAATATGTCAAAATACACCCTACTGTCATGTATACCTAAAAACAACAAATTTAAAAAGAGAGAGAATAGAGAAAAGAAGTGGATAAACTAAAGGAGAGGAAAGGGAAATAAAATGAGGAACAGAAACCTGGGTGGGGAGTAAAGGTAAGAATGACACAAGTAAAGCATGAGGGAGGGGAAAAATGTAATGAAGAAAGATGAGTGGGGGGCTGGGGTTGTGGCTCAGCGGTAGAGCGCTCACCTCGCATGTGCGAGACCCTGGGTTCGATCCTCAGCACCACATAAAAATAAATAAGTGACATAAAAGTATTGCGTCCTTATTAAAAGAAAGATGAGTGGAAGTCGATGGAATGTGGATGATGAAGTTCTGATATATTGGTTCCTCTTAATAATCTAACAAGTTCAAAATTCGTGGGTTTTAACCATAGAGATGAGGAAGAAAATTACAAAACTATTATCTATGAAGTTTGTGTATTTTAAAATTACTGGGATTGCAGAATAGCTTCTTTGTTCAGCCAGAAGGCAGTGACTGGATTCCTGGAGTTGGGGTCATCTTCTTCCCTTTTCCTGATATATGGAGTGGTGTCAGGAGCGTCTGAGATAGGAGGGGCCAGCCAAAGTATTCTTCCTACTCACACTCTGAATACAACTCAGCACAGAATTCTTCAACTCTTGTCACCTAAATGTGTGGCAATTTCTCACTATCAACAAAGCAGTTCTGTGTCACATGTCAACACAACATTCTGTAATTTTAGATCTGACAGTCAATCCCAGGAGATAGAAGGCATCAGATGCCAGTTTGGGGGTTCTGTTCCACAGTGTTTTCCCTACTTCAGATGCCAGTCCTATATCCCAGGTAGGACCTACTTCTCATTTAGCAGGTATAAATTATGACCTTCTGTTCAAGCCTATTAATTTGCTAGAGGGGTCAAAACCCTGAGGGAAACAATTTACTTATGCTTGAGTATTTGTTATTTAAAAAAAACCAAAAGACACTGCTGGGGCTGGTGGAAAACATCTGTAATTCCAGCAGCTTGGGAGACTGAGGCAGGAGGATCAAAGGTTCACAGCCAGCTTCAGCAACTTAAAAGGCTGGGGATGTTGCTGTGTTTAAATGAACCTAGGTTCCATCCCCAGTACCAAAAACAAACAACAAGGTCCAGGCAGATGGCAGAGCAATGCTAGATGATTAATTGAATGCTAACAAGGGGGTTTGGGGTATCATGGGTGAGAATTGAGTCAAACAGTTGGACACCAAGGGAAAAGTCTGCCACAGAACTGGTGAGTAGTGGGGGAAAAAAAACAACACATATGCATTTTGGTGACTAGGGATGAGATACTGTTTGTTGATTGTGAGTGTAGTGAAAACACTTTGAAGAGATCTTGCTCAACCTGTCTACTCCTGTCTCTGGTTTTGTGTCCTTACTTGGTGTTGACTTCATTGGGAGTGTCCCTGCTCCTGGCTTTTGCTGACCCTGCACTTGCCAGCTCCAATAAATCAGTCTAAAAAGAGTCTGGTATCCTTCTTCCACAGCATGATCAAGTTTTAACACAAGAAAATTATTTTGGTCATTGTTCACAGGTGGGTGGTGGTGTGCATTTATACACATACACAAAATAAAGCCTTCCTTTGGTTTTCACTCCTCCATTTATATAAGATAAAATATTATATAATTTATATTTCTCTCAGCAGATATATCCCCATTTATATTACATTTACACACTAAGAACTTGTTTATAACCTATCTTTGATTCTTATCTGTAATTCTCTACTGACCTCTTTCAATTAAGATTCCACATCCAGCTCAACTCAGAGTATAACTTTAAGAGTCTTCTGTATCCTCACCATTGCCAAGTTTGGCCTTGAAACTTTTCTCTGTCTATATCTGTTACTGTCTAGGGGTCTCAGCTTCATTGTCTCCATTCAGTGAAGAATTGAAGAACAAAACACAAAGAGAATAAGCAAGCAACAAGAGCAAAATTAACAAAGTAACAGATTTGGCAAAAGAGAATGGGTTCCAGTGCCACAGTCTGATGGGAAAGTATTGAATTGTTGTTTTCAAGGGTTTGGGGCCTTCCTATTTTTTCTCTCTTCTCCCCTCTCCATGCTTTCCATTCTCATTGGTATTTTATTGCTCATTGGTATCCTCTGTGTTCATGTGTCTATTTTAGTCCTGTTGAATCCCCCATTTAGGTCCACAATTATGGAAATGTACCTGATTGTGACCCTTGCTCATGTCCATGAGCCCTTTTGTCAGCTAAGAAGCTGGCCTTACTGGTGGATCCTTTTAGTGCTCTTGTCACAGGAAAGTGCTAACCTGTCAAACCTCAGTTCTTGAGTTCTGATGAAAGAAAATTTAAAGTCAGACACCGGGCCTAGGGTTGTGTGTCAGAGGTAGAGTGCTCACCTAGCACATGTAGGGCGCTGGGTTCAATCTTCAGCAACACATAAAAATAAAATAAAACAAAACAAAATTTTTAAAAATAAAGTCAGACACCAATGGAACTTTATTATAAGTGAAAGTAAAGTAAAAGCAAAGTGAAGCTTAAGCAGAGAGAGAAAGTGGGCCATCTCCAAGCAGAGAACAACAAAGGAGACAATGCTGTCTCCAAATTGATTACTGTTTCATGTTTACCAGAAGAACTGGTAAATACCAAAGAATACCTTCTGTATTCTTTGCCAATCAGATGTTCAACTCCTCCTTTATGTCAGGCAATGGAGTTTTTGACCTTAGTTGGGTCTCTCTGGCACTGCCATAGTGGCCATCTTATTTTAGGGGACTTCATCTACAAGTCAATCCCATGTTAATGTGGGCATTGGGGTCAGTAGCTGGTCAGAAGTTACCTTAGTGTGCCTGTGCTACTAGAGGAATCTTCCTTCCCAGATGGAAACAACTGTGGCCATAATTCCTAGCTTCACACCAACCTGCCAAGAATTAGTTCCATTAATCCTTTTATTTTGATGTGTTTTTTCATTTGCTGTTTTGCTTCTGTTTATTTTCTACAAATCAACTACCACGCTTTGCTTTCTCAGCCACTTTGAAATTAGTTCAAAGAAGACCCTAAAGTAATTTAAAGAACATTTATGACCTTGCATGCATTTCATTGCTCATTGATAGTTACTACCTAACACTTTTACTGTCTGGACTTGACCCTGACTTCCTCACAATTTTTGCCTTAATGCCTATGCAGTTCCAAGTCTTGCTGTATCCACTGCATATTCTAATCATCTCAATCATGGCTTTGACACAATACAGGTCTTCCTTTCCCCCTCGAGATCTGTCCCATGAACCCTAGAAACCCATTTCCAGTTGTTTCTTCAACTCTGTGATTGGAAGTCTAACAGGCATCTC